TATGTTTTTTTACCTTTTCTAAGCTGGCAATCTTGTTAAATTTGTTTATATACAATATTTTAACTATTATTGACGACCAAAAAGTGCAAATCTACGACGTGAGTTCAAAGTAAGAATGTGGTTTACTTCATAACTCTCCGAAGATTAACATGTTAATAAACCTTAAAATCAAAGACAATGACGAGAAACAAACAAAAGACCACTAGTGAAATTTACTACTTTATATATTGGTAAATTTGTTGATGTGTACATTTATTTAGTTAGTTTTTAAAACTAACGAGAATGATTTTAAACTAATGGTCAAAATACTTTATCAAAAAAAATATGAATGATCAAAATGCAGATAAGAAGACTAGCTTTCGTATGTGTACTACAGAAAAGACAACATTAAATTTTAAAACAATAATTAAAATATTAATTAAATTCCAATTACTAATAAGCTTTGATAAATACTTAAATAGTGAATGCCAGATGTCAAATGATAATTCTCTTGTCGGTGGAGAGTCCACAAGATAGAAAAACTTAAGATTGGTAAGACATCATATTACTAGTATTAAGTATCATTAATTGAAGTATGTATACGGCAAATATTGATACTATAACACATTAAGAGAATTTGAAGAAAATCGAGTTTAGTTACTTACACATGTAATGAAAATAATAGCTACCAGTAAAATATATCAACATTTCTTTTTTTTTGTTGGTAAAGTTATTTTCAATAATTCATTCTATATTTTCAATTTTCTTAGATCTCTTATTATTATAAATAAAATGTCAAAAAACACACCAACATGCTCTATATATCACTACGATTTGTTGTTTTGTTTGTTATTTGTGGTTGCATTAATTTTGAAAAGTCATATCCTACATAATTAAGCCCAGATTAATCGGGGAAAAAACAAAGAAAAATTATAAAGCTGAATAAAACAATGTCGAACAGCTGTGAGATTGCTTTGTTGTACTTTAAGACAACCAACCAAACTAAAAAAAAAAAAAAAAAAAAAAAGTCTAACTGGTCCGGATTACGGAACTCTCTCCTCTCTCTCAGATTTCGGGCAGCGTTTGAGATATTTTACGGGCAGCGGTCACGTTTTGGTTTTGGCCTTTCGACAGCTCATCGCCAGTTTCCAACTTCGCAAGTACAACAGTTCATAAAAAAAACTAGACAACTGGTTCATTCTAAAGAGTTCCTGTAAACCGTACATCGCCTGATATATCAGAATTTTCAGATTCGGACCGAACTAAGGTTGTTTACTTTTTTGGCGACCGAGTCGATTGTTCGGGTAAGATTTATGAGATCAATTCGGACCGTTTGTAAAACTTTACTTTTTAACCCAAAAGGCAAAAGTGGTGTTTGTTTGCGTTAGGCGCTAAAACATAGCTACTGTTCCAAATTAAACCTACTTACTTTCAAATATGGTAAAATCAAAATCTTTCGAATACTGTATGTCTATTGATAAACTAAAACAGTAAAAATATCAATATACATAAAACCCCTATGTTAGAGCTTAAAGTTTTAATCCATGAATCTAACCAAAGAAATTGAAAATTGTAATATTAAAGTATCTACGGTTATTTACCTAAAATTTGTCTACAACACTGTTTATACGATAATCGTTGTACTGTCTATATAACTGTTTAATTAATGCTTAATGTCGTCAAAAGATTTTTATTTTATTTTATTTAAACAGTGTGGTTAAGAAGTCATGATCGCAAAACATGACTTTAGAATGTCAAATTTCGAATCAAGAGTAAAACGATTTGTAATTATTAAAAGATATTATAGATCGCTCGAAGGAAAGTGTTTATATATGTTTTGTTAATTGTGAAGTTGAATCTGTCTCTTCCTAATGAAAATACATTACGGGACGGCGGATAAGAGATTAAATAAATATAATATGTGAAAGAACACATGCAAAAGATTGGTCTCAATATGCTATTGCCATGTTCTTCTTCACTGCTGCCCCATATTTTTCCAGCTATGTGATTCTCTTTTGTAAGTCATGACTAATGGTCAATCAATTAGTTACTTAACTTGTCACAAAATCAAAATCAGAGCTTCAGTTTCGTTGTCTTTTTAAACGTGAGAATAATTGGGATGAGCATATAATCTTAATTTCTATTTCGGTAGATTCAAAAGGAAAAGTAGGCAGAATAATATTCTAACCAAAAAACAGGCTTTCTACTTGATTCCAAGTTCAACCTAATGGACAATCAATTAGTTAAATTTACGCATTATATAATAGATAATTTGAATTATACCATCAAAGTGGCTGTAGTTTAGTGGTTAGAATTCCACGTTGTGGCCGTGGAGACCTGGGCTCGAATCCCAGCAGCCACACTTTTTAGATCCTTAATTCTTTTTCCACTCATTTATTTCGGAAGTGGGCTTTTCGTTCACTAGTCTACTTTTGTTTACGGCCTTTTTTTTCTTATAAGGCTTTCAGAATCAAATCAACCAGGCCGAAAGAGTTTATACGCATACAACTGATTCAAGCAAGCAAATCTACAAAACATTTCACTTTCAAGAACAGGCTCTTGTATACAACAACGTCAGCTCAACGGTTAAAAAGTGAAAGACAAGAAAACAATGTCCGTCATAATCAAGAACTGTTGTTTCTTCAATTTTTCCAGACACGAACAGTACCATCGACTGAAGAGGTCAACATACAGTCTTCTTTAGGGTGGTAACTCACGCTTGTCACCTGCCAAATTTTAGTTTTTAACAAATCCAAGAGAAAAATCAAGATCAATACTACTTGTAAAAGTTTTAAACGGGTTATAAAAAAACAGAGAAATGAATCTTTACCACTAGATCATGAGCTCGAAATTTCGATACCACTTTTGCATCTACCAAATCCCAAAAGAAAATTAATCCATCCTCTGATCCTCCGATTACATGTGCATCCGAATTAGTGAGGCAACAATCGGTTTTAAATGACTGTTTGCACACAAAAACAAAACAGTCATTAATCTTGTAACTACGATATAAAACTAAGGAGCTACTATGGACTATGGTTACGTTATCTTCCAAACTAATGACTAACCTTCGAAATATGACCTTTATAGACTTGGAGTAGCTCTCCTGTGGTTCTGTAATTTAGAAAGATATCCACAAAAATCAAGTCACAACTGCCAGAGAAATGAAAAGTCTAATTATTTACATACAATTTCGTCTCTTTTACCTGTCAAGTAGACGCAGAGTAGAATCCAAGCAACCAGCCAGCACGCAATTTCCATCGTTTGATATGGATATACAATTAACTGGTTGGCCTAGGTTATCTGACATCTCCCTGATTCCAATAAAAACCACAATTCCCAATCAATTATCAGAAGAAAGAAACAACACCAAATTTTATTCCTTGTATTGAGTTTATACATACCTACCAATGCGCATGTCAAATGTGCGAACAGTTCCATCGACACTACCACCAATAATCTCAGTCTTTGTTAAAACAACAGACATGACTGTATCCAAAAATGTATCAATGATCTGAGAAAAACAAAAACAAAAGCCAATTAGATTTAGTTCTAAATTATTGGCAGGATTTGAAACCGCATAGCATGAAAGAAGTAAAACCTGAACAGGCTCAACACTGTGAGATCTGCAGTCCCATACACGTAGCGAACGATCAAAACCAGCTGATACAACTACAGATGATGAATCATTGAACTTCACTGCATTGACCTGATAAGATCAATGTTCATTAAAAGACAAGAAATGATTAATATAAACACACAAAGCAAACCCTAGGTGATATGGATGCCTAGTTTTGCAGACATATACCTCTCCGTCGTGACCACGGAATTTACGAATTACACGTCCAGTTGAAACATCCCAGTAATAAACTTGCCGATCACCACCACATGAGCAAAATTTGGCATTGTCTCTGTGATTTAAAAAAAAACAATCAACGAAACATGAATACACAAACAAATAAACTCATCATATCAGCCTCCACCGCTTAAAACTACAATTTTCTTGACAACAATGGAACACAAACTCCTAAATATCTGAAATTTTGTGTCTATTTCGATCGTTTCTGGCTACATGCAACAAAAAGCATAGAACCATGAATACACAAACACTCTCATTATAATGCTTCCACCACAGAATACTGATATTTGCTTGACATTAGGATCAGAATCAAACAATTTGGAGAAAATACAAACTTGAACTGAGCAAACCTGGTCAAGAATATGTAACCAAACAAAATCATAAATTAGCTTTAAACAGCTCCTAAATGTGAGATTCTATCTCTAGTTTACTCAAATTTAAGCTGCAAGCAACACCAGAAACACACACGACACAGAATCTGATAAATTTGGCCTAATAATAAACTTAAACTTCACAAATCTGAATCAAAATCAGGAAAATTTGGAGACGGGAAAGAGGTGAAATCATACGAAGTAACATGAACGTCGCGGACTTCACGGCCATGGGATTTGTAGGTCTTGATCAGGATCCCACGGTGCGGGTTCCAGAGGCGGATGGTCCGATCCTTACCACAGGTGAGAGCGTAGTTACCGTCTCCGTTAAACCTCGCCGCTAAAACCGCTCCTTCGTGGCCTTTAAGGACGTGCGCCTCCTTCGTCGGGAGCTCCGCCGTCGCGCTCATCTCTTTCTCGCCTGAAACTTACAGTGACGACGTTATCATAGAATGGGCTTATAATAAAATATATTGGGCCCTTATGTATTAAGCCCATTAAGCAGAATCAAGGAGTTTTTCTCTGATTAGCCGTCTTTGTTATTGAGGTCTTATTTACGAACAAAGTAATCAATTTAGATAACTGGGCGTAACGGATATTTTATGAAGACAGTGCTAAATGCTTAACCACGATCACTACTGAAGTACTGATAAACACAAAAGTTTAACGGCCAAGAAAACTTCTCAGCTCCCTCGTTTAGTTTCTTCCAAGTCTATATATATATATATTTGTCACATCAAACGAATGTATCAAATTCCAAAAACACACATACAGGCAAAGAAAAAGAAGCAATGGCCACAAAAACTAGTTCAAAGCCTTCTCTTGTCACATTTCTTACGATATCATATCTCATATCGACCGTTCATGTCATCACGGTCGTCGATGCAAGGAATCTCCAGTTCACGACGATGGCATTGGCTATGGATCATTCTGGCGCGGGAAACCTAATGGACTGTTGGAACGCGGGGTTGGAGCTCAAGTCATGCACCGACGAGATCGTCAAGTTTTTCCTTAGTCAAACCGGTACGAATGAACCGGCGGCCAAAGGTGGGATCGACGAAGATTGTTGTGGAGCCATTAGGATGATTGAGAAAGATTGTTGGTCCGTTATGTTTACTTCTTTAGGACTTACGACTATGGAAGGAAATAATCTGAGAGAGTATTGTGATTTTCAGGCGGAGAAGCCGGAACTGTCTCCTTCTCCGTCTCCGGCGCCTGAAGCTTTGGCTTTGTCTCCGGTTGAGATTACGTACCCTGGACTTAATTAAATTACAGCGTTCCATGTTCCTTTATATTCTAAGTTAATAATAAAGTTAACTCTTTCGGTATAATACCAACTAATTAATAATTAGCGTATGAAGCGCCACACGTTTCTTTTCTTTTCAATGGCACACTCATTTGAAGGCTTTGTATCCACTAATACCAAATAAAAGTTATCTGGTTCCCCGTTAAAAATAAACATCTTCAAGTTTATAGCGTAGACTCACTTGATGGTTTCTTCCTTAAGCTAATCAATATTCCTTCAACGAGCTTATCCTCACCCGAAGTCTTTGTCGGTTTCTTCTGCTTCTTGTCAGTGTCCCAAGAATCCATAATTTGGAGTAATTCGCTACCTGTTTTATCTTCTTTCTTTGTCTTCCTTCTGTCGCTGCTCTCTCTTAAAGAAGCTTCTTCATCCGTCTCTGAGTCATATTCTTCTTCCTCTAAAACAGATGTCCCATCCTCTCGAGTCTTTTCGGAAACAGGACCAAGATCTTCCAATGATGCATCAGATTCATATGGAACTGGGGTTGACGAAGGAAGAATGTATCCTGATTCAATCCTAGCCTCAGGCATCATTTGTATCAAATACTGCAGCTTCGAATAACCGAGGTTATGATATTCTAAACGGTATCCAAAACTGTCCAAAAAGTATTTCTTTAAGTTACTCATGTTATAACCTCCAGGGTTCTCCTCTGTTATCTTCTTTACCAGCTTATGACAATCCGCAATCACCTCGCTTCTCGATCTTTCTTTAGGTTTCTGGCTCATACCAACGTTCTTGGGATCTTTCTCACTATTTTCTTCGTGACACAGGGATTTTGACATATTCACAAATACCGACCTCAATCCATTCGTAGCAGGTGTATCGCTAAAACAAAACCTCTTCTCGGTGAACCTAGTAACTCTAAAAGGTAGAGTATCAGAAGGATTCTCTTTTATCCATTCCTTCTCTGATATTAGCAGAGTTACTAAATTAAGCATTGTGGATACATCCAGAGGTTTGAGAGATGAAGGTCCTTCGTCCTTCAGATTCTTAGCCATCGCTTCTCTGAACAGGTATAGAAGCACAGAAACTGACCGTTAATTGAATATTGTTTCCCTGATAGCTAATGCAGAAACATTGGTAAGAAAAAGACAAGAATAAGAACCTTGAGCTTGAGTGAGAAACAACGACGAACCCTCTTGGAGAATTAATGAATGATTCAACATCTTTCCAAAAAGAATCTTCTGCAAAAATGTCATTTACTTGAGGTCTAATTGCTGCTGCTTTGCCAAAGTCTGACTTTCTTCCCCAAAAAAACTTGACTCTCTTCAGAAGTTGAATTACAAACCCCAGACTCTTCGATTTCTCGATGCCTACTCCAGTGTCTGCCTTTACCTCCTCAGCAGATTCACAAGAGGTAGAAGATGCAATTCGAGATTCTAAGTCCTTATTCACTTCTTTTCCTTCACCAACGACTCCTTTCCCTTCGTATCCATTTCCAGAAATATGTTTCTTTTCTTGGAGATGCTCTAACTCCATTTCCGGTGAACCAAACCAGAGTCTATTTAGCATCTTACGAAATCCACCTGTTTCCTCAGAAGAAGAAACATCATCAACAGCAATTATAGCTAGCTGGTTTTCTTTCATGGATTCGTCTTTTGCCTTAACATCTACCTGCCTAATTACGGAAACAGAACCTTGAGAACTCTCTTGTGATTGAGATACCACTTTCACGTCTTCATCATTCTGTTTCATCTTCTCACACATCTTTACCACACTAAAATTTTTGGGATACTTGCTCCTTAATTTCGGCGATGAGGATTTGATATCCATATCTTGGTTAACAGCATGAATAATGAACATACCATCTCTCTCTGGAACAACCTGTAAGGTCTTTGGCATAGACAACAGAAACCTCGAAAAACTCTTGTATCCGTAAAAGTCTCTATCAAGAGATACTTTCCTCTTTCTCAGCTGCTCACGGAGTTCTGTAATAGGTGCTCCCTTGGGATACCAACTCAATATCAAACCAATCTGCTTAACAACTTCTTTGGGGATAGGACGACATGCCATACAAGAACCCGAATTCACATTTGAATTCGATTCAAGCAACTCTACAGTTTTCACACTAGTAAAGGATGTTTGCTTGTTGGTAGTGGTGGAAGATGTGGCAAATGGGTCAAGAAGAGGAGTTCTATAGTGACCATACCAGGAATTATAAGGACCATCAGGCGGCTGGTTAAAGTGTTTACCTGTTGTATTAGTTCCTCTAACCAAAGCATCCCAGTCCCACATAATCGAAGCAGCACTGCACAATACCCCAGGCGTAGCTTCTTCGTAGCCCGCGAGCAAAATGTTGTAATTGCTCATCCTCAATCTGTGTAGCACACTCGCAAAATCACTGTCGCTAGAGATTAGGAAGAGATGAGCAGGTGGTGGATTCTGACTGACCCAACACATAAGATCTATAATCAAAGATCTATCCGTACTGTTCTTCCCACCTGTGAAATCACATTAAAAAGGCAAGTTTTTTTCTCAATCAGATCCTTAAGTAAAAAAAAGAAAAGGAAGAAGGAAGCTTTGCATAGAAGTAGGAGAAGAGAATTTGAAAATAATTGACCTTGAGGAACATGAGTGAGAGTGATCCCAGTAGCGGCGAGAGCTTCTTGGTTAGTTCTAGAGAGCTGGATTACGTCTCCGAAGGCAGTGATGGTAATGGGTCCTTTGATTCCGCTGTTTCTTAGGGCGGATGTGATGGTTTGAGCCAATTTGAAGACATTCGCACCCGCCGGCAAATGGCAGTTCTCGAAGTCCCACCACACCGGAACCCTAATACTCCGTGACTCCTCGTCGTACTGAGGTCGCCTTGAAGAAATAAATTGACCGGCGCCGGAGCTAAAAGACGAGAAATTCGCGACCAGCACAGAGATCGCGCGACGCGGTAATGGCGGTAGCTCGACGACGGAGGTGGAAGAGGAAGATGCGAGGCGGAGGAAGAGGGGTCTGAAAGATCCGAATTGCATGATTAGCTCACGAAACGAGTAGAAAGAGGAGAGGTTTCATGTGTGATTTGGTAATGGCAGGAAACGGGGAGGTTTCACTGAGCTGAGGGTTTTAGCATTTCTAGGAGAGTTTGAAGAAGAAGGAAGAAAAAGAAGAGAGAGAGCCTGACTGACTAAAACTAAAACCCCAACTCACGTGCACCTCACGTGATTCATGACTCACTATGGGCTCTAAGTCTATCAAGCCCATTAAGAGATTTCTTCGGGTCCATCTATTTCTAACTAGTGTTGGCCCATTTAAATAACTATCGAGGAGAGACGTGTTCGTTCACTTTTGCCTGCCAATGTAGTTAGAAAATTTTAATGCAACGTTTAGGAATATGTGAAGTAAGGATAGGATAGCTCTCTCTTGTAGTCGTGTTTTGACCAGACAATGATATGTTTAGCTTTTTCTTCTTTGGTTCGTCTTTTTTTCTTTTTTTAGACGGTAGGGTTTCACTTTAGACTTTGAGGAAGAAAAAAGATATCAGATGCGTATATTCCTTGAATTCATCATACATCTCATTATTGTCATATATATCTATATATATGTTTATTAAACTTAAATGTTTTATAAACGAAAACTACGGATATAATAGAAGGAATAATTAACAAACGAAAGGCATGCATGATCTGTTTTATTTGATGCAAAGTGAATTTTTTTTCTTTTGTAAATTTTAATTTAACGACAGGAAACATGCTTACTAAAATGTATATAAAAACTAGTAATGATAAAAATTAAATGCAGTATTCAATAATAGTACATCTATATGACATGTAACATGTTTATTTCGATGGCGCCGACCTTCCTACCTAGTCCTCGGACGGAAAGGTCCGTGAGATATTTGGTTGCGTAGATTGTTCTAATGATGACTTTTATCGTGACAAATACAATCAGCGCCAATCATTAGTTGAGTAGTTAAAACAAAAGAAAAAAAAATACTAAACGATACCAATTATACTATTTATCAAGACCATGAATTTGGCAAAATAAAATGTGGGTTCTTAAAAAAGGTATTCCAGGTTTTTTTATGTTGGTTTGAACGACCCAGCAGCACATGCTATATGTATTTAGACACGAAATTAGAAAAAAATGTTTTAGAAAGGGGGAAAGGGACAAGAGACTCATAAAAATCTATGAAATAATATATATCCTATAGAGATCTCATATACGGATTAGTTTTGCATGGCCATAACTCGTGGTGACCTGGACGTATGCGTTTGTACAATCACATTCTGCTTTTGCCCTTCTATATGTAAAACCACACATGTCTATATGGGTCATCAAACACTTTATCTCATTGGTCCTTTTGAATTTTATTTCCTAACTTTAACGGTTTCTTTTAAATTGATTCTCATATCTTTATTAACAAGATGTATGTAGAGCTGTAGACAACAACATAAAAAAAGAAAGAAAAAGATGTGGAGTCCTAGCTAGGCGTCTTTAGTTTTATCGGATATATCTCCCAAGGGACAACTTATTTTTTAGGCTTCTCTGTAATGGGTCATGAGTCATGACTGAGTCTACAAAATCCAGATATACTAACTAGTATTCAATAATCAATATGCACAAAAAGCGGATCAGAGAACTTTAACTGTTCCAATAAATAATATCTCTCGATGTATTACTTAACTAAACCAATCAAATTACGTATCAATTTTGAACCTCTTTTTGACAAATCAATAATGAACGTTGCACACAGTAACATGCATGTTTCACGAACCGTCCAGGTAAAGGCGGGTGTGTGAGTGTGACCACACACGCTATAGCTATATATTTTCAATCAGAGTTCATATATGACTCCTCACCTTTGTAGGGATAGTGTTTGGTCTGATTGTGAGTGGAACAAGAGTCATTTTTTATTACTACTATAGGTTTGCGATCAACTACTACTATTTTATTCGGTTCTGTCGTTTCTTTTAAATAAAACAACGATGATCAACCTGAGTTCTATAATATATGACGTTACCATTCCATAGCAATAATTAATAGTCACGCGCTAATTGGTATGGAATCATTTTCTTCTTTAATTTGAGAAGCATCATAATGACGTACATGATTGCATAACGATTGAACGTAATTGCGATTCCAATCAGTGTATTGTGTAATTAGGAAATCCAACAGAACACGAGCCTTATCTCTTTCAATCAAAACCATTATGTGTCCACATTAAAAACAACAAAAAACCTTATTATATGTAAGATTTACTAAATGTTTCATTATTGCAGCTATCTTCCCTCTTTCTTTCATGTCTTTTTTTTTTAACTTCATGGATTCATCATTATATTCCTTTTGAAAAAATGTGATTTCATCATTTTACTAACCAGTGTCTATTTTCTTTAAATCTATGATTCACATTCAAAGTGTTGTAAACTATATAAAGCCACACCCTGCAGTAGATCTAGAAAGTGTGGTGATTAATGGACGGAAAGAGAAAAAATATATACTTTTAGACAACATCGAAAATAATATAATTTGGTTGGTAATAGTTAGATTGTGACGTCTTTCTTGAGAATCATATATATATATATATATATATATATATATATATATCAAAAACAAAAAATAATAATGATGAAATTATGAACTCATTAAAAAGAAGAAGATAACCAAATTATAATCAACCACTATCTTAGTTACGTACTTATAAAAATATTTATTTCGTTACTTTGTAACACTACCGTAACAAGATATCAAACTGATGCGTGCTTGCGTCTGTACTTATATAAATACCCCACTTAGTTTCTTATTCTAACTTAAAGGAAGAACACTAAACTATATTCAGAAGAAAAGAAAAAAGAAGAGAAAAGAGACAGAGAAGAACATTATAAACAGTATCCCATTTATACATCTCCAAGAATTCACAAACAAAACCAAACATCATCAAATCGATCGATGGACATGGAGTCAAAGAAACCATATATGATGGTGACTATAATACAAGTCATATATACGATCATGTTCTTGATCTCCAAAGCCGTCTTCAATGGTGGAATGAACACTTTCGTCTTCGTTTTCTATCGTCAAGCTTTTGCTACCATCTTCTTGGCTCCTCTTGCTTTCTTCTTCGAGCGGTACATATCTCTATATTACTCTCTCTTTCTCGATCTCCCTGTCTATGTCTGTGTGTATGTACCATAAATTTTTGTAAACTTTCTAAATATGTTCATTGTATTCTTTTTATTTCTTCCTGTAGGAAAAGTGCTCCACCTCTTTCATTTGTGACCTTCATCAAGATCTTCATGCTCTCTTTATTTGGGTATGTCTGCTTCAAGTACATTTTTATTAGCCCTTAAACAAGAAAAAAGTACATTTTATTTCATTTGCTTCGAGATTTTTGTTTGCGTGTATATGTTTATGTCCATTTAAAGTAACAAAACTCCAATTTTGCTTGTTCTTCAATCTAGCATCATTTTATATTGCAAAATATACAAAGCAAAACATAAAAATCCATAATAGTATGAATTGCACAAATATTTACGTTTTCTTGTATTTCTTGATAAAATGTAATTTAACATGTAAAGTTTATACAGAACAAAAGCGAATTGGAATTTTTTTTTTCTTTATGCGTTTACACTGTTGTGTGTTTTTAAAGGAAAATAATTAAAATTATTTGTAGAAAGTTCATAAACTTAAGAAATAAACAAAAAAAAATGCGCAAAGGGAAAAATACAACGAACACTACAATACTATATATATGTACTAACGTTATATATGTTGAATTATGTTAAACTTTATGTATGTTGGGGGTTTCAGTGTGACAATGAGCTTGGACTTAAACGGTATCGCATTATCATACACGTCGGCGACTTTAGCCGCAGCCACAACAGCTTCTCTTCCGGCCATCACTTTCTTCTTGGCTCTCTTATTTGGGTATACCTAATTACAAATACATGCTAAGTTGACACCTTTTTAATTAATTAATACCTAATTAATTACTCTTTCTAAGATATACATACTTATATTTTTTTAATAATAAATTAAAGAATGGAGAGGCTTAAGGTTATGAGCATACAAGGAACAGCAAAGCTTGTAGGGATCACTGTGTGCATGGGAGGGGTAATTACCTTGGCACTTTACAAAGGTCCACTACTGAAATTACCTTTATGCCATCATCTCTATCACGGCCAAGAACATCTTCACCGGAATGATGTTTCCGACGGTTCCACTTCGTGGCTCAAAGGCTGTTTCCTCATGATCGCCTCCAACATTTTATGGGGTCTCTGGCTCGTTTTACAGGTATCTATATATATCTATATTTTCAAATTGATTTAAACATTTATCCCATTGAAACTACTGTATAGGCTGAAGAGTTGCGTATTAGCCAAAGTTTAAACCCTAACATTCAAGAGTAACTGTGACAAAATTCTCTGCTATCTTTGATATTAGTTTGGTCTCGTTTTTAAAACAGGGCCGTGTGTTAAAGCTCTACCCTTCGAAGCTATACTTCACAACACTTCATTGTCTCTTGAGTTCGATTCAATCCTTTGTCATCGCAATTGCTTTCGAGAGAGATATTTCCGCATGGAAGCTTGGTTGGAACCTAAGACTCGTTGCAGTCATTTACTGCGTAATTATCTCACTCTATTTCATTTCATAATAAACTAATACAGTATGTCATAAATTCAAAGAATATTTATATTAATAAATCTAAACGTGACATTATATTATACGCAGGGGTTCATTGTAACAGGCGTGGCATATTATTTGCAATCATGGGTAATAGAAAAGAGAGGACCTGTCTTCCTATCGATGTTCACTCCTTTGTCTCTCGTCTTCACTCTCCTCTCCTCAGCGATTCTTTTATGCGAGATCATCAGTCTTGGAAGGTTCTACAAAAATCTTCTTGAATATATCTTCATTTTTCTTATCTATTCAAGAAAATTAACTGACGCATGTGTAATATGTTTTGTAGTATCGTAGGTGGATTATTGTTGATCATAGGACTCTACTGTGTGTTGTGGGGGAAAAGCAGAGAGAGGAAAAACAGTGGTGTTGGAGATAAGATTGATCTACAGAAAGAAAACGATGTCGTGTGCAATGAAGTGAAGGTTGTCATTAGTTGAGAGATATTGTATTAGCTTTTATCTATATATATATAAGATGTGCTAAAAATTAGGCTTTTTATGATACATGTGACTAATCATTCACATATAGTAGAGTCTAGAATCTCTTAAGAAATCTTTGCTTTAACTACTTTTACTTTATCACTTAACTTAGGGTGGTTTCTAACTTTTCATAGGTTGTGTGTTATGAAAAAAAAAAGAGAGAGCTATATATATGTAAAATACTGGTCACAAACTTTATTCTTATTTTGATTTTCGTGTGATTATTAATGATGATCATCAACCGGCTGAATATGTTAAAATTTACTAAACATATGTAAGTTAAATTGTTAAACGAAAATTTCTTTATTTGTTTCAAGAAATGATCTTTTCGATCTTTTGCAAAGTGTACAACTTGGGGACATGCAAAAAGACTAATTATCCCCATATTTTTGTGAAAAATAAAAAAATAAACAACAACAATAAGAGATATCAAACAAGGGACATAAACTGAAATTGCCTAAAGAATATGCTAAATCGTTTTTTTTAGTGATTTGTTTTTGTTTTATAAACCATGAAATGGTTTTTTAAAAAAATATATAATTTTAGCTACTCCTGGTTGGTAATTTCTCTGTAGTCTCTCGTAAGTCATTTGGTGGTTCCTAAATCAGGCAATGTAGTAGACTCGTTGACTTGCTTCTCCAAAGACGCAGCTTTTGCTTCTTCCTCTGTTTTAGGCAACACCATTTCTTTGTCTCCCTCAGGATTTTCGAGCTTTTCTTGAGCATCTTTAAACTCTGGAGCTTTTGTTTCATCTGCATTCTTAGCGTTCAATGCTTCTTGATCAGTTTTAACTGCAGATTCATCTATGACCTCAACCTTCGATGTCTCAGGAGTCTTGACTTCAAAAACCTCTGGAACTTTGATATCTAAATCCTCCGTAGATTTAACTTCTGAAACCTTTAAAAGTTCTGATTCTGCTACTTTAACTTCATCAGTCTTAACTTCTTGAATGTCCTTATCCTCTAAGACCTCAGGAACATCTGACTCTTTTGTAACCTTAATTTCAGACAGTGCAGGAGCAGAAACTTCTGAAATATTCTTGTCCTCCAAAACCTCAGGAACGTTTGATTCTTTTGCATCCTTAACTTCAGACAATACAGGAGCAGAAACCTCTGGAATATTCTTATCCTCCAAAACCTCAGGAACATTTGATTCAACTTCAGACAATTGAGGAGCAGAAACCTGTGGAAGTTTAGACTCTTCTTCAACCTTAACAACTTCAGATGTTTTCTTAGCTTCCAACTCCTCTGGGAACTTAACTTCCCAATTCTCTGAAAAATTCTCTTCAGCTTCCTTAGCTTTAGGAGTTTCAGGAGACTTAACCTCAGAATCTTTTGGAATCTTAACTTCGAGGTCATTTCGAGTCTGGACGTCAAAGGTTTCTTCCGGAGCTTTGACAGTAGAAGCTGTTAGAGCAGAAGTATCAAGCTTTGGAACCTCTGAAGGACCGGTTTTGTTTTCATTGGCCTCTGATTTTATCGGCGATAGATCAATTACTTCTTTTTCCAATACTACTGTCTTGTCCTGTAAAAACAAAAACTCATCCAAATTGATATGAAAAGTGAGAAAACCAGAAAATAAACCGGTCCGGTTTGGAAATGCTGGTATATAAAATTATTGTAACTCTTTTCTTTTGGGTCAAACAAATTATTGTCACTTTAGTTTCCACTTCCACAAATATAAAATGTAAAAACATATGCACTAACTATTGAAAATATTTTAATTTTCAAAAAAAAGTGGTCCTTAAGTTAAAACTTAGAAGGCAAGAGAAGCTTTTTATATAAACTCCTTAAAGAAAATACGGTCTGGTTCCTCATCACTTGCCGGCCATAATATCAAGAAGAATGTACAAAAAAGCTTAACAATGAAATAATATAACTTTTGATTTGAATCTCAATTATTATTTGCTAATTATATGACTAATCATCACACATAAACATTTGAATCTAATAATATCCATATTTTGTTGAATAGTATTGCAAACAATTATATATATGAACATTACCTCATGAAACAAGTGACTGAGAGATGGGCGTTTGTGGTTTTCGTCAACGTCATCTTCAATCAAAATCTCTTTTCCCTTCTCGCTCCGTCGTGCAGCAGCCGCAGCTTCCTCCTCCTCTGCGGGGTTAGGAGCATTGTTCTCGCTCTTCTCAGGCGCCGGATCTTTGTCATGATGATCAACAGGAGCCACCGAATCTCGCTCCACCGGAACAAGATCCTCCTCAGAATCTTTGAGAACCTTTGGCTTGATGGCACAGTTTCCCATCTCTCGTTAAAAACTCACAGATAATGAGAAACCAAAATATTTATCTCTCTCTCTTAATTTAGCCTTTTATCTTCCGAGAGATTTGAGAGAGAGAGAGGAGGTGTTAAAGGGATGGTCAAAGAAGAGTTTATTGTCCTACAAATTCTCTGCGGCCATGAAAAGAATTATTATAGAGAGACCAAGATTTTTTATTATAATATATAATTCATACTTATGGTTTTTTTTTTTGTGTGTGTGGTAAACCTAAATTTATATTGTACTCAAAAAGGACGTTAATCTGATTTGTGTTTGTACTAGCTACTACGCAAATTAGAAATATATAAAAACGCTCTCTAATCATAGAAAAGATTTGTATTCGAATCTTTATTTTGATGCATTGTATATTATTGTTTTTCCTACTGAATCGAGCAGGGGGTGGATATTACAGAAAAAAAAGAAATAAGTATATGCTTTTTATTTACAGTACCCATGTTGTCCATATAATGACAATAAAACAAATCCTCCACATAACGGTCAAATTTATACAGTGGGGCATAGGACAACTTCAAAAGCCTTGTTTTGTATTTCTTGGTTAAGTTTTCTGTACGTATTGTCAATTTCTTATTTGGTTGGTGCCAAGACTGAATGCGAATGCCGATGCTAAATCCATGATCGCAAATTCGGATGATGGACCGAAAAATACAGCCCATTAAAGATCAGGTTAGGTTTGGGTTACATTTTCTTACCCTTTTTGGGTTTATGGTGTGTTTATGGATAGTATCGAATGTCATAAAGTTGAGAAGAAGAGAATATATTCGGGTCGGGTCCCGTATTCACTTGGTTCACCCATTTAGAGTCATTAAGGACACACTAAGTTTTAGCAAATCACCGCTGCACAAACTTTAAGCAGATGGGTGTATCCAAGGAGCAAGTCATAGCTACATTGACTTCAAAACTCAATCCTGTTCATCTGGTAAGTCTATTGATTCCCTTACCTGCTGCAACTTTTATTCTGTTTATGGCTACTGAAGCTGTCCAAAAAGTAAGACGAAATTTAGAACTTTGATTTATCACACATGCATCCTCTGTTCTTTGATATATTGGAGAAAGATGGATTTGCAGATAATGACAGTTTGAAATTTTTTGAGCTGGTCTCTTGATGAAAAATAGAATTACTAAATTGGATCTTACGCATGTTTTGTTCTTAGATTGACTCATACACTCATTTATGTGGTTTGTGTGAATTATAATATGAGATTATTGAAGCAACAAGTTTACTTTGTGATCTTTCTCTGTATACATCACTAATTTAGTCATTTGGCTTGATTTATATGTAAAACTAGGAAGTCATCGACACATCTGGAGGGTAAAGTCTTCTGATCACTAAACCGTCACCACCTTCCATTTCTTCAATCTATGACTTTTGACATCTGTAATTTCCAGTTCTCAATCTTAAAGCTTTACTCTTTGTTCCAGCTGCGGTGCGAGTTTTGTGGTTGAGATTGTCTCGGAACAGTTTGAAGCGAAGAGATTGCTTGAGAGGCACCGCATTGTAAACGCTGCTCTTGAAGAAGAGATGAAAGAAATCCATGCCCTCTCTATAAAGAAGGTTCAAACTCCACAACAATGGAAGCCAGAATCACAACACTCCGAAACAACTCCAACCACAGAGGCTTGAAGTCAAAAAGACAGCAACAGACCTTAGCTGTTGTATTAATCTTGCACCTTGCTTAAGATAAAAAGCCTGTATTTAACTTTGACCAGTTCCAAGGTAAGTTAATAATAAGCTTGTACTTAAATAATCATGTAAGGCGAGATTACTTATAAATTTGAACACAATACTGGATGTTTATCGTTTGCATATTCGAAATTCAACATCTTAACCATCAAGAACACTTGTTTTAAAGAACAATTACTACTCTTCCATCTTCACCTTCTTCTTCTTCTTGGACTTTCCCGATCGTTCTGAAGAGCCTGAAACCGTACTTGTTGAGTTCCCATGTTTACCTGAGGCAGACTCTGAATGTTTTCTTTTTGGTGACTTTGGAGCATCCGTGAAGCTGGAGAACAGGCTCTTCTGTTTGCTGCTACGTGAGGAAGCTGAGTGTCGAACCGACTGTCCACTTTTATGGCGGCTACTTTGACTTGGGTTAGAGTATTTCCCAGAGGAACTCGTCACTGCTCCAACAAGCTTCTGCTGGCTTCTGGCCTTTATAGTCTGAAGCAGCTCGGTTGGTTCAGGGTAACGAACTAACGCAACTCGCCGAGAAATACTCCCACCTACCATGAAACGGAGAATAACATTAAGAATCATTAAAGAAGCAGGCAAGGCTGAGTAAACTGAACGATTAAGACCAGACACATGAGTTACTTCTAGAGCAATGTGGGGGAATATACCAATCACGGATTCTTCAGAAGGTAAAATCACAGTAGATTCAGTATCTTGAGGAGCATAGCTAACAAGGTCAAACTTGGTACCTATCAAAACCAGAGAATGGCAAATTAATTCAACCACTAACGTAGATAATGAGCCAACCTTTGGAGATCAAGTCCATGATAAGCTTACCAGATGAATCCACAAATCCTCCAATTGATCCATCTTTGTCAAAATCATCAATCTTGATATCGTCACCACCTATTTCTGGAAACTGCGATGAAGCAGATCCCTATAGTTGAATAGAACATTGCAATAAGATCAATTGCGTTAAACTTCACTGAACAAGCTCAACCAAATTTAACTCCATAAAATAAAATAAAAACTAAACATACTCGGGATATAGGGAATTGGAAAATCCAAATCTCATCGTCAGAATGGGACACTTCAGTCTCTTCTAGCTGCTCGAAGTTATTGACTATGAAACTTTCGTTAGGTTGGTAATCCAATGCCATCTCTTCCTCAAAATCAGGTCTCACGATTTCACAAAACCTGCAAAACCTAGAAGAGAAAAAAGCTTAAGCTTTTAGACATCAGAGAACTCAAACCAATCAAAATCGCAAATTCATAACGAGGAAGCGACGACTGAGAAAGAAGGGTTACTTCGTCGACGGCTAAATGAGAGAGAGAATAGTTACCGGAGAAAAATCGATGCGGCGATGACCTAAATCCCGTTACAAATTTATTTATCTCTCTCTTCTTCTCACGCAAAACGACGTTGTTTGGGAAATACATTTGGTTCTTCCACTAAACCGGAAAAATCAATCGAGTAATGTGGGCACCTAACCGGAATTTGTGCTTAGAACCTTGGATCATAAATGGGCTTTAAATGACAGGGCTGAAGAAGCCCAAATACGAATGCAACGATGGCTGCAAACAACAACGATAAATGTTGTTGATCCAGAAGAAGAAGCTCTTCACTGAAATCTCATAAACCCTAAAATCCCCCGAAATGGAATGGTAAAATTTCAGAAAAAAGATCTCAAATTCCAAAATCTGATTTGATCCCGCAACGAAGAAATGATACGAAGAAGAATCTCATCGATCATATCAACATCACTCATCAATTCTTCGACTTCGATTCACCAAACCGCAAAACCCAGATTCATCACTTCTTCGCCACTTCTTCAATGCCGTACTTCTCCGAGCTTTGCTCAAATTCCTACCTTTATGAGCAGAGCTTCCTCGTTTCAGGGAATTAGAGCGTACAGTTTACTGAGCTTGAACGATCTGAGAGACAATGTGCCCAGAAAACTCAAGACGAGGAAAGGTAGAGGTATTGGGTCTGGTAAAGGTAAAACTGCTGGAAGAGGTCACAAGGGGCAAAAAGCTAGAGGAACCATGAAGTTTGGTTTTGAAGGTGGGCAGACTCCATTACGACGCCGTTTACCAAAACGTGGCTTCAAGAACAAATTCAAGCTCCATTTCCAGGTAAAGAAAAAGCTCGTGCTTTTCAGTTCTGGGATTTGTTTTAGAGGTCAAGTTTCTGTTTTTGTAGCTTCCATTGATTCAAAGGGTTTACAGCTGTCATTGATTCATTAGATTAGGTCGGGTTTGAGAATCTAAATCAGATGGGTCACACTTTTTCTTCTTTCTGAATGCCATCAATGCTCTGTATTAGCTGCTTGTAGTGAAGTAGATGATCAGGATTGGAATTTCAGAGTTCAAATTACTAAAAGGTGATATAATTGTGGTATGATGCAGCCCGTTGGTCTTGGAAAGATCGCTAAACTCATAAACGCTGGGGAGATAGATTCTCATGAATTGATCACAATGAAAACGCTCAAGGTACGATCATACTCACTCTTGACTCACCGGTTTAAGATGGAGTTGATGATTCTGCTCTTTAGTAAACCCATTTCCGCTGGCTTTCAGGATGTTGGAGCCATAGGAAAGCAAATAGAAGACGGAGTAAGACTAATGGGTCGTGGTGCTGATGAGATTAAATGGCCACTTCATTTCGAGGTTTACCATTTGCATTATGAACTTTTGCTCTGTATACTCTCTGCATTTTCAAATTTGTGCCAAGTTATAGTTAGAAATTCGATTAATCGGTGATAGCATGTTTACTTCAGGTTTCGAGAGTGACAGTTAGGGCAAAAGAGGTGGTGGAAGCAGCAGGAGGATCAGTGAGACGAGTGTATTACAACAAATTGGGCTTAAGGGCATTGCTTAAACCGGAATGGTTTGAGAAGAAAGGAAGGTTATTGCCTAAGGCAGCGCGACCACCTCCTAAGCAACAAGATAAGGTTGATAGCATCGGACGGCTTCCCGCTCCGAAAAAACCCATTCCCTTCTTTGCAGCTGAGGAGAACAAAGTTGAGTCTCCTATTGAATCGTGATTTTGGGTTGGCTTATAACGTTTGATGGTTCTGCTGAAGTTGTTTGTGCTGTTTCTTGGTCAATGTTGGATATTTTTTATTTTGACAAATAAGGTCTTTCTCCTATTACTTTCTCTGTATTTGGTCGCAACAAGTTCTTAAGCATTTTCAGACTTGTTGTTTGGGATCAAAGCTTCGTTCATGAAGAAGGTCGAGGAACCATGGAACAACATATACGATAGATTTCAATTATTTATCCAACTATTATGGTTGACGCAAGTTGTCAGCCAATTTCGCTATATTCATTTTTTGGTAAAAAAGTGGAATGTGGAAATTATAAAATATGAAAATGGACTGACATTATTTTTTGGTTGATGAATTTAAATAATAATAATAATAATTTTGTTTGCAACGGTGACAAAAAAAAAAAAAAAATTGTTTGCAACTGTCCTATATAAAGACTGATGTACATATATAAACAATGTTTAAATTATTACCAAAACACTAACAATGTTTTAGTTACGGGACCGTCTGGACTCTGGACTCGTCGTCGTACGTGAGTTACCTAATTTATAGAAAAAGACATGATTGCCTGAATTTAAACGACGGAACGTGAAAAAAGAAGAAGATAGTTTTCGAGGTTTCAGAACTCATTACTCTTAACAAACATGTAATGATGACGACTGTACTGTTAATTATAGCCCTGACTATTTTTAAACAACTTACAAAAATAGAAGAGTACTTGATTGGGTTTCTAATCAATTATCCATAGATCTGATTTAGACTTCTTAAAAACGATGGTTAATTGCTACAGTGTTTTTTTGGGTCTAACAAGAATCATTAGGGTTCCTTACTTCCTTTGATTTCGTATCTAAATTATATTAACAGCATATAAATTTCTTATTTGTCATGCAATTCAAAATATCATACAACTTTTAAAAATTACTTAATAGATTTTTTTTTCTTATTGATGATACCTTTCTGATCTATATAAATAGCTATTGATGATGATCACCTTCCCGGCATAAATGTCACGTTTAATGTCAAAATAAATTATCTGGCTATAAAATTAGATGCAAACTTGGTCCATCACATTGACAAATCTCAATAGACATTTCAAAGACATTATTGGTTATAATTGAAAACAAATAGATGGATCCCAAGAAAATGAAAAAAAAAAAAAAAGTCGATAATATATCTCAAGACCAATCTACATCAGACTTTTTGGATACGCCATATATTTCAATTAGCTCATTAAGTTTAACGATTTGACCTATTCTTAAAAAAAAAATATAAACAAACACCACATAATTAGTCCTTGTTTAAATTCATAAGTCAATTTCGAACTAATTGTAAACTTAAAGAAGATTTTTTTTTTTCTTTCACTCGAGTTGATCATAATAACAAGATCGAAGTATATCATGAAGATGACTGCAGGCTCTTACACTTTGATACGTGCAATATTACACATATTCGAGATATCGAAAACAAAAAAAATACAACTTCGAGTTACAAATCCATAATAGATTATAAATGTTTTGCCTTCTCGATATGAATCAAACCAAAAAAAAAACAACCATTTTCTTAGCATCACAAAAAGAAAATAGATAAAGGAAAAAAAAAAGCATTTACAGCAGCTTGAAATTCATAAGCAAAAGGTAGAAGAGTAAAACCAAAGTAGAAGAAATACTATAAAGTAAAACAAATTAATAGAAAGAAATTAAGAAAAAGAAAAGGTGATGACCTTTTAAGGGTTTTTTTTTTTTGGTTTTGGTTCAAGGAGAAGAACGATGCCAACTAAGTAAACCGATATCATTGTGTTTTCTAGAGGGACCAGAAGCTGGAACTGGGAAGTGACGTGGCAAGAACCCCAAGAACTGTTTCGATGAAGACGGAACAGCGTCTTTGTGTTCCTTGCGTGGTTTCGAGTTGAAGACGTTCGTATTTGTTCTTGCTCCGTTACAGAACCCTAGAAGAAGAAGGAGAAGGAGAAGAAGAACAGTTCTTGTGAAGAAGAAGTTGATTCTTGATCTCGTCCGGTTTCTAGACGACATTGTTGAAGAGAGGTTCTTGTGGGAAGAAGAAGGGTTTCGTTTTGTTTTTGATGTTGTGAAAGGTCTTTATTTTTTAGTTTGTTGTTGATGGGAGAAGAAGAGGAGATTGCTGAATGAATTTGTTGACAGCAAGAAATATGGGCAGATTGAGATTGATATTGAGAGAGATTGATAGAAAGAGAATATGACTAAGAGGTTTTTTTTTCTTTTTTTCTTTTTGAGTTTATGTTTTCGTGTGTATTTAATTTACTTCTGATATTTTGTATTTCTCAATTCTCTTTTTTTTTTCATAAACAGTGCAACTGTGCAAGTAGTTGTAGACTTGTTGACAACTGGTTTTGGTCTACAAGCCGAAGATCTCTGTTTGGTGTTTAGACTTATAATTGCATAAGTTTTAAGTTGAAAATGAAAATGTTGCAGGGAGAAATTATTTATTTTTGACTAAATTATTGTGTTCATGACTTTTTTTTATAGGAAAAATGTGAAAGTTGTTTAAACGAAGATTTGTTTACTGAAGAAGAGATGGGATCAATGTTTTGATGAATGCTGAGAAAAGTATAAACTTTTTTTTGTATCCTCCATATTCGTTTTTCACTTTTTATGCAAAAGTTATTGAGTAATGAAAACATTCCATTAATTTCATCAACAACACTTAACGAGATAGCTCGCTACAACTGTTATGATTATATATTTTCTAAACAAAATTATCAAATGGAATGGAGAAAAAGACGTTTGTACGGCGCAATAATTTGTTCTTTCTCTTGTCAACAACAGTTGCATATATAAGAAAATATTGTAAACACTAAACACTATTATTGTACACTGTTTTTTTAGTTATAGTGTTTTTGGGGGATTATCGTAACTCTTGCTTAATAATTTTATTTATAAAATTGGTAACTTCAAAATGATTTAGTTGAATGCCATTTTCGAAATCACATGTTTTCAGTAAGATTTTAGTTTTCATAGTCTTCAAATATTTATTTAACAAAATATTTCAGACAATGTACATATGTATTTTCTTCCTACCAAAAAAATATCTTGCTGAAATTATTATTTTCATGTATAGCTTTTTTCATTTAGTTGATATATAATCTATAGTATGTAATAATTATCATTAATTTAGACAAAAATTAGAAAGGAAAGAAAAAGGTTACAACAAATCAAACTAGATTCATTTGTTTCTAGCTTTGGATGCAAGGTTTCATGTCACCTATTCGTGTTCAGTGAATAAGAAATATCAAAGATTAAGAAAGAACGGAGAGAGTGGGCAAAGAGGACATAATTATATAAAGTGATATGGTAAGGTAAAGCCTTTTTATATATGTTATGTCATGACTCAAAAACTTTATACATTATTGTTTTAATTTAATTGCAATAGTTCCTATAGTTTTCTTTGGTTAGGAGAGAATATGACAGGTCCCAGTCTATTACATATAGTGACCGATTATAATTATGTCACAACATTGTAACTATTCGATCTTTATTGCAAAATCTTCCTCAATATAAGCTACTTGAAATGCATATATATTACTATTTTTTGTATAGACACACGTATGCATACAGTGCATATATCAATCACCGTTCTTGCCATTTCTATCTTTATCTTAAGCTTTTTTTTTTCCACAGAGTTAGAGGTTCTTCATTCAATGCAACGTTTTCCCAACACTTTTATACGATTTTACTATTTTTTTTACATCCACTTCTTGTAAAGAGAAATCTAATAAATGATACATCTTTGGAGCCGTGTGTCTAATAAGCATACAAAAGATTAATGGGCATGTTTACAAAAAGCTCAATAGTATATGATACTGTAACTAATTAAATACAAATTTTACTTCTTGACTGATATATACATATGAGAGTAGTATGGAGTAAAATGACTCCATTGTCCCAATATTATGAGATGAAGAAGTACACGAACAAAAAGTAAACTAGAAAAGAAGAGTAGTCGTAATGTCAGGAACAACAGTTGAAATCTAAAGTTGGTCTGAGTCCCATACCTTTCTCTACTATTTCAAACACTGACTACGTCTTAGCTACTTCTATTACAAATATAGCAATCGTACTTCTCCACTATTTATTCATTCTTTTTTATTTAAAATAATATTTTGAAAATAAGGCAACACGAAACTGACTGACAAATCTAGCTAATCCCTAGATTGGCTCTGTACAGGTTTCTAGCGAAGAAGTATAGTTATGAACCATTGTTTAATTCAATGTAGTATCATGTATAGATGTACATACATCAAACAATGTATATACTTTTGGTCACATAATTCTGATTAGTTAGACATTGACCGACATTTGTTTTGTGATTAATGTTGATAAACGTAGACCACCATTCACACTTTGTTTTATGACTCCAAACGCGAAAATGTATTATGTGTGATGCAGAACAAAGGGAAGAAGGACGTTCTGTGCATAGCGTGATCCTTATCTAAGTATGAAAAAAATTTAACCGACATTGCTAATTGCATCTCTAAGTTAACACTAGTTAAAAAACATATAATCTGGAAATTGTATGTTTCCCCATTGGTTGCAACTATTTGAACCCTCAAACGTTTATTTATAAAACAAAGACAATATTTGGACAAAGACAAATATATAATAACTAGTATAATATATGCACACGTGCGATGGTGTTTAATTATATGCGTGATAATATTATATATAGAGAGACTTGTGAAGAAATCAACGTCACGTACTTGAATACGCGTATAGCGTACGGAACGGTCGGGGTAAAGGTGGTGCGAGGCATGAGCCGCATGACTCATGAGTCGAGCGTCACGAGTCACGACTCATATGAATCGTGAGTCATAAATATTCATTGCAAGTGATGGAGTAATCACATGATACGTCGCACCAAATATCGTGTCCGACAGTTCAGAGGCTGGCTGGCATAGAAAAAGGCTCATCCATATTTCCTATTATACATGTACTCGCGCATACATACGTACTAAAAATTCTAGAATGCATGCAGTACCTTTTCTGTAATCTTGTGATTTAATTTTTAAAATCATGTGAATATCAACACTGTTGACGTAGATTTATACGATATCAACTATTTCTGTAATCTAGCGAAAATGGTGGAATAATTACTATATGACCAACGTATTATTTCCTACGCTAATTAATAGCCAATCAATGAAAAATAAGTGTTGCAGTTAGGTGCGTTTTATGAGTTTTAAGTTCAAAATTAACTGACAACAAATTTATATATATGCATAATAATTATATTTAGGTTTCAATCCACATCCTCGAGACTCAAGAGTCCAGAAAAGACAATTGTTTTTTTTAAGGCCATAAACTCGGACAGGTATATAGTAAAGTTAGTAACTGAATTGAATCATGTGTATTTGTAGGTGGAAGCCATGAAGGGTAAGGACACGGACGATTTTGGGTGAGAGCTTAGCTAACAAGTTCGTTAGCTACCTTTTATTTGATTTTCTGATGAATTAAATGTTACCCTTTTTACAAATAGTTATATATACACGTAGGTACGTATTTTTTCATTTACAACTATATCTATTACAAGTTTTAATTAGTTTCGATCGGTGTTATCCACATCATTTTTACATGTCCAATTTTTTAATTTTTCACTACACATGAACATTTACTTTAATCGTTAAAAAACACCAGATACAAAACTGTTTAAACTCTCTCTCGTCTACGGGTAAAAAAAAAAATTTGTCGGAAACACACATGAGTTATATTTCAAAGAAGAATAAATACGCTTTGGTTGGAATATATTGGCAATTTGACTTTGACCAGCACAGTACAACACTGATCGCACACGTGCTACTAGCTTAGCTTTTAACACGTCAAATCTTATTTTTTCTCAAGGAGGAAGACCACAAAGGCAAATCTAGACGTCATGTTTGTGTCATTAAGAAAGTGAAAACGGCATGCAGTTTTTCTCTCTCTCTCTGCCTTCTGAAAAAAACGAACCGCTGCAAAACACAGCGTAGATTACTATTTTTTCCTACGTGTTATATACTATATACTTTTATACTTTTGATTATACTTTCATCCATTCTCTTATTAGTTTTAGACTTTATACATAGAATTAACAATTTTAACATTCAAGGAATATACGAATCAAATGGGCCTTAATGACTACATTTTAGGCTAATAGGCCCATCTACGAATTTACTAAAGCCCATAAATACCACTTTCAGATATCCGTTTACTCTTTTTGTGTATTTTTACGTTATCCAAAACTAATATGATTTTTCTGAGGTATGAGAAGTAAAAATGTTTTATGTAATTTTTTAAAAAACTAATTAAAAGTATTTATGAAATGAGTTTAAGTTTTTTCTTTGCAAACAAATTCATTCGAATCATATTATATAATTAAATGTTTACATGGGATATATATTTGTGTAATTAGCCATCAAATTTTAATCATACGTGATTACCAACTTCTAACAGGGACTATAACTATATATTAACATCAGAATCGTGGACTTTGACTTCAAATCTTCATGAACCATCATTCCAATTTGAATGTTGAAATTATTCTCCCGCAAATATTATAAAAAAAAGTAGATGAGAATATAAAATTCATAAGAGAGTTAAACGTGTGGAGAAATTGCGAATAGTTTAGTACGCCAAGTCCAATAGCTAGAAGTTCAATTCCATGGCTTCACACTTTCATGTTTGGTATTTGACATTCATGTAGACCAAACATATATATACATATATATAAAAGCTTTAAACGTGCGGACGTATAAGTGTTTGAATCAACCTAAACACGCAGCCTCTCACGTGCAAACAAATTAGTTTATGGATTATTTATGTTTACAAACGAAAATGCTAATCTACAAGTATTAAATATTTCGATGCCTGCTGTAATTATAAGTGTGGGTGATCATTATTCAACTTTGACTTTTGAAGTATTTGCATGAAACACGAGTTTGGGTTACTTATCGCGTGTTTAATAAGTTTAAATAAATCAGCAAAGGATGCTGTGTCCGAATTCTTTAACAGATGCGCCCATAGACTTAAAGGAAGCTGAAAACAACATTTTAGCCCCTCCTTTTTTGATGAAATGTATTTATATATTACTTTATAGTATTTTTTTAATGAAACTATACACTTATTTTGTTAACTGTTTCGTATATAAAAAAATAATTCAAGAAGTAATCCTTTTTGTAAAGCTGAATTACTATTAACATTTCAACGAACACAAATATTTAAGATTAATTAAATAAGTCGCAATCAAATTGTAACAAATAAAACTGTTTTTATTTATTTTGAAATAACACTCTTGGGAGATCAACATTTATGATCACTTGACTTACGAGGCGGATTTGACTACGACTGATCTATCACACTTTGACGATATAAAGCTTGTTTATTAGACAAAGAAAAATGAATAGCGCGCAAGGGTTTATATAAATCTTAAAATGGGTTGAAGTTGTAATGAACATAAGAAGACAAGTCTTAAAGAAAGTATCGAAGAGGAGGGGATAAAGAGGTTTAATACATATAAGTGCCACGTCATGTATTGCTAGTTGCGGACATAAAAAACAAACAGAAGTGGAGGTGCAACAAAAGATGCAATATTGCCCATAGAATCTGTCCGGTCAATTGATCAACAATTTGCTCATATTTATTCTTCTTTTCTCTCATTTTTTTTTCCTTTTCTTTTACGTAATATCTTTTCCATTTGTTATTAAATATTATTAGTTTCTGCCTACATTTTTTATATTTTACACAAAGTATACATCATACACTTATTTAGGTTGCTAAATACATAAATCTTAAGTCAAATTCTTGCACGAACTGAACATAAAAAAGATATTGCTACCGTTGAAATCATTGCTACCATGAAAGTTGAGATTGTAAGTCTGTAATGCACTCCACTCACTTTACAAATATTATCATTATCAAAAGTGTGATGGTGATTCACCTAACTATATAGTAAACAATATAATTTGTTGTCAAAGAAAGGGTGAGAATAATCAAATTACAGAATTAGACGAGCATGTAATGTAGTATTCGATTATTTCGTATGATTACGCGTTTTAGATTTTACGAACCGCCCAAATGTGAAAATGATGAGGACCAAAACTGAGGAAACAAGAGAACGAGGAGATAACTTAAAATAATAAAAATAGAAAGGGTCATATAGAAAATAATAAAGAAAAAGAAGAGTTGTGCGTTTCCACAAATCTCAAACGTGCGATTGCACAACCCCAAAAAAACTCGGTGCGTTCTTAAGACGTAAAGTGGGACTCAAATCGTCACCGTCCAATTCCAACGAGTTAGATTTGTAGATCAACGGCTGTGTTTTGAAAACTGAAAAATCTCCACCAAATATTAATATAACGCGCCGAAAGACTTCTTTGACCAACGACCAAAAGTGAAAAACACTTAAAAATTAAAATAGTTTTTTACGTTTTGATTTAAAGAAAATTATCATTCAACTTTGGAGTGTGCTATAAATATTATTCTAATTTTGTAGTATAGTTAGTTTATAATAGCATAAAGAAGGAAAAAAAATAAAAGTTATATTCGATTTACGTTAAAAGAAAAAGTTTTTATTCGATGTAGGTCTTTATAAAAATAGTATTTTAGAAAAAGATATTTTTAAAAATACTAGTATTAGTTAAAATTCTCGTCAAAAAAGTGAAATTATTTGACGTCACCAAAGTTTGACTCTTTGTTTTTTCTCTCTCTCTCTCATCTTTTAAACCAAACCCCACGCACTAAAACCATTAAACAAAACTCTCTCTCTCTTCTCTCTCTCTCCCACACGCTTTCATATCGGAGCAAATCGGCAAACCAAAAAAGAAAAAAAAATAGCAATAATGAGGAAGGATGATCTCTGCATCACTGTTCCTACGTTCTTCCGATGTCCTATATCTCTCGACGTTATGAAATCTCCGGTGAGTCTTTGCACCGGTGTTACCTACGATCGAGCTAGTATCCAACGGTGGCTCGACGGCGGCAACAACACTTGTCCCGCGACGATGCAGATTCTTCAGAACAAGGATTTCATTCCTAACCGGACTCTTCAGCGTTTGATCGAGATTTGGTCTGATTCTGTTCGTCGTCGAGCTTCTGTTGAGTCGGCGGAGTTAGCTGCTCCGACGAGAGATGAGATCGCCGATGCGATTGATAGAGTGAAGATCGAGAAAGAAGAGCGAGACGACCGCGAAGTTTTGTCCAAGATTGTTCGCTTCGGCAGAGAATCTGATGATAACAGAGGATTTCTCGCCGGAAAAGATGATTTCGTGAGGCTTCTCGTCGATCTGATTGACAAGGTCGATTTCGAAACCACCTCCGCCGCGAAATCGCTGGTTGTTCAAGAGGCGGTTAAGATTCTCAGTTTGGTTCGAACCAAAATCTCAGATCGGAGACGGTTTTCCAATCTGATTTTAAATAACGGTCGAGATCGGTTAGCGGTTATCGTCTTCTTGTTTCGAACCGGGAATGTCGAATTGAAGATTGATTGCGCCGGTTTACTTGAGTTCATCGCCGTCGACGCCGAATCAAAGCTTTTAATAGCCGAGAGAGATGGATTGGTGACGGAGCTAATGAAATCGATTAGTAAAGACTCAGATTCGAGCTTAATCGAATCGAGTTTATCGTGTTTGATCGCGATTAGCTCACCGAAACGCGTGAAACTCAACCTAATCCGAGAGAAACTCATCGGAGATGTGACTAAATTGTTATCAGATCCGACGGCGTCGAGCGTTTCGGTCACCGAGAAATGTCTGAAGCTTCTCGAGATTCTGGCATCTACTAAGGAAGGGAGATCAGAGATTTGCGGCGGAGACGGCGAGTGTTTGAAAACGGTAGTTAAAAAGCTGATGAAAGTGTCGACGGCGGCGACAGAGCACGCCGTGACGGTGCTGTGGAGTGTATCATACCTTTTCAAAGAAGATAAAGCATTGGAAGCTGTCACGAGTGCTAACGGAGTCACGAAGATTCTGTTACTGTTACAGAGCAATTGCTCTCCCGCCGTTAGACGTATGTTAACGGATCTTCTAAAAGTGTTCAAGGTGAATTCAAGATCTTGCCTTTCGGCTTACGACACCAAAACGACACATATCATGCCGTTTTAATCAATTCTTTTTTTTTTTTTTACTCACTTAGGGTTCGTTCTTAGGATTTGTTTCTTGGAAGAAAAGAAAAAAAGTGAGAAAAAATTGTAAAACAAATTGAAATTTTGAATACTGAATATAAACTAAAAAAAAGAGAAGAAGATTCAATTCATTGTTGTAGTCTAAATGTTCTGTTATTACTGTAAAGTAAAATCAAATAATAATGATGTTCTTGAATTTTCCAATCATAGTGTTAATTCGTATCATTTGATATGGAATTGCTTTTTCGAAAAATACGGATTTTGATATATATATTCTGTTGGTAATAATAGGTCCAAAATTGTCAAAAGGAGATGAGTGAATACGTCATATAGTTCCCATCGACCCACAAAAATATGAATATGTAACGATGTAACATGTGATTTTCAATTCGTCTTTAGAAGATTCGAATACATCATACACGACATAGACATAAGCCTATTTACAAGTCTTAGTCATCTTTATCTTTTTCCTCATCTTGTGGTATTATTATTACTTTTTTTTTGGTTAGAAATCCATTTAAAATCTCAAAAACTATAGTCACTTAACAATATTTTGAACAGATCAACTTAATTGTTTTCTGTAAAAAGACATGATTTTTGTTTTTTTCTGTCCCAAGATTTTTTTTTTTTTCTTCTTTATAAAACTGTAGAAATATATATAAAGTTAATTACTTGAGAAGGACTTTTTTCAATGGCATTTACAGTTTTTGCCATTTTACTCAAAATATTTTTGATTTGTCATTTTTTAATATTTAAAAACAAAAGTTTACATATTATGTTTGGATTTTCTTAATTCCATTTTTTTGGGTTTAGTATTTGTTACGAAGTATGTATTTTAGCAAAATAAAAATCATAAAAGCACACATTTTAAAAACTTAAAAATGGAAAATCCACAAAATATGAAAATGACACATTTAAAAGATTTGAGTGAGGAAATGGCAAAGTTCATAAGAATCCCATATATATAAGTATTTGACTATTCTCATTGGATGATACTCCCTTAGTCCCCTACTTATTTATACTCTCTTACAAATACTTTTAAAGTTTTGGAAATGGTCTTGAGAAACCCACGAATTAATGAGCTGGTATCGGACCACTTTGAAGTTATATACTACAGTCATTTAAAAGTTATATATTGCTTTTTAAAATGTTGACTATATTATAATGCATGTCCAACTGACTTTTTGTGTTTTCGGATTTTCAAGTGTTGCTTTATAAAACCTGTATACTAATCGTTACAAAGATTCAAGATTATATTATAAAGTCTCTCTCTCTCTCTCTCTCTCTCAACGAGTCCAACTTTGAGAGCTGGCCTTTGACTCTCTCGATACGAAGGAGCAGAAGAGTCGACAAAACCGCCCACAAAATTTGGGATCTGTGTGTTTTATTCTCTGGGACTGTTGTTTTGTGTTGTAAGTTGTAACAAAAATGGTCTTCAGTTTACGTCAGTGGAGAAGTTAGGCATGTCAATGCAAAGTGTAACTCTGAATAAATAATAAATAATTTTGAATTGAGGAAGAACAACAAAGAGAGAAGAGAAGCTAGCTCCGATAAGAAAGGAAATGAAAAATCCGGCTCAGAATATGATTATTACTGTCAAACAACTGGTGGAGTATATAACTGGACTCAGTTGATTTGCGTATGGTTGGTTTAAACACTACGGCTAATTAAGTCCAAATTTACACAAACGGCTTTTAGATTCCTTTTTTATTGGGCCAAACATTAGAAGATTCGGCCCATTACTAAGTTCAGGGTTCACCTTCGTGTGAGTTCTTTTCATTCTTGTTTCCCATTTTCGCCATTTTTGATTCTCCGATCGCTTCGCCGTCGCAGAAATGACAAAATTCAGGAAGCTCGGTCGCCCAGCTGGTCACCGTATGTCCATGCTCAGGTTTCTTCTTCTTATTGTCTTTCTATAAACTTTCTCATCGATCCTTGATTCTTCGCACATTGCTTAAAATTTCTCTATTTTATGTTTCCAATCCAAATCTTATCAGGACTATGGTTTCTCAGTTGGTGAAACACGAGAGAATTGAAACCACTGTTACAAAGGTACTAATTAGTGATTCCCATCTCTCTATATATATTTTTAATTTTGATTTGAGGTTTAGCTAGGGTTTATACATAGTCAGCTATTGAGAATCTGTGCTCTCATTTCTTGGAGACTTGTAGTGTGTCTTGTCCTAAAAATGTATTCTCATTACTTACATTGGATTTTTTAGGCTAAAGAGGTCCGTCGTCTTGCTGATAATATGGTTCAACTCGGCAAAGAGGTAAATCGATCCTTTAACTTTCTTTCCAATAAGTTTAAGCAACTTTCTCGAATCTTTTGTATAATCAGACACCATAGCTGTTTTTTTTGTGTGTGTGTGGAGCATGTAGTTGTGTTTAAGTGTACTCAAATCTTGGGTTTTATAAGCTCAAAAATTGTTTCTTTTGTAAGTAGTTTTCGAGAATTGTGGTTGAAGTAAATAGCAAAAGCAATTTAGATTAATCAGATAGCCAATCACTTTCATATCGGTGATGAAATGATTGATTACAGGGCTCACTAGCTGCAGCAAGGCGAGCTGCTGGGTTTGTTAGAGGAGATGATGTACTTCACAAGATTTTTACTGAATTGGCTTATCGATACAAGTGAATCCTCTGACCTTGTTTTTCCTTTTTTAATCTTGGACCTCTCCTTAATACTCTCAACTTTGTTTCATCAGATGGATGTTATGTGTTTTACAGAGACAGAGCTGGTGGATACACAAGAATGCTCCGCACTCGCATACGTGTTGGTGATGCTGCACCAATGGCCTATATCGAGTAAGCACAAATTTCTTTTCTTTATTGTTCATTCTTCTCACAGAACCGCATTGAGTTCAGGTTTTCTATAGCCTCGATGATAACAAAATGGACAATGATCATAAAAATCAAACATTATATGGTGTATGTGTAAACTCTTCTTGGTGAGCTAACAACTGGTTATACTCTTCTTGGCGCAGGTTTATCGATAGAGAGAACGAGCTAAGGCAATCGAAACCAGCAACACCTCAACCACCACCTCGAGTGCCGTTGGACCCATGGGAAAGATCTCGTCTCACCAGGCAGTATGCACCACCAAAGGAAGAGAAGAGTTCTGATTCCGACATATAAATATAAGATCTCTCTTTTGCTCTCTCTCACTCCAAAGAACATGTTTCTTTTTCTTTTCTTTCCCATGTTGTTTCTCCTTCGACCCCATAGCTTTGTGTGTCACGTTAGTCATCACTGTCCTCATTTTGTGTTTCACCGAAGGTAGAAAATACATAGTAACTTTCTTTTTACCCTTTGAAACAAACAGTTTATATGTGCTTCCATTGAAGCATCAAGCATTTATCCATTTTTCTTGCATATATAAAATAAAGTTAAGAAGTGAAGTGAGAGTCTTCAACCACTAAGAAAAGTATGATAAGATTTTTAAAGTTCATATCTTCGTACGTTTTGCTATGATATGGTTTACGTGGTTTCTTCCATCACTCAAAAGCTTAGAACTTTATGATTGATGGTTATCTTCAATTATTAAATCTATGAATAGCGATAAAGATACCACACTAATATTTAACACTAGAATAAAGTTACATTCTCCTGACTTCATTTCAGAACCTAAGTAAAGCCTCATTTTCCTTTACAAAATCAAGCTGTCGTGGAAGCCCACTCATCAGCCTGAATGAAATTGGCGACAGAGTAAACATCAACATGCTTCTCTGGTATCTCACTACTCCATGGAACCCTATTCGATCTATCCGATCCCGGACCTGTATTCTTATATTCACCGTAATACAAAGTCTTCAACGCGAAATCCCCGCTCCAAGGCATCCATCCGTCAGGACTAATCAAGGACCCAAGATTACAGTTTACAAAAACCGTCCTCGAAAATTCCTTCCATGGTCTTCCCAAGAAGTTCTTATGCCCTTTAGGGTTAGCTTGATACTCTTTCAAGTATTCCTCAGTTCCATTAATCGAACAGTTCGAAAAGACAAATCCCGTGGACTGAGACGCGTCAATCCTCCCGTGTGCTGTGATGGCGTTGTTTGCGCCATTTTCGAGTTTGGAATGTTTGGAAGCGATAAGGATATCACAGTCTTGGAATACAGCAGCTGAGTTACCGAAGATGAAGTCTACATTGCCCTCGATTCGACATTGTTTGTAAAACTGACGGAGCGAGTGAGCGTAAACAGTGTCTTGGTTCCCGAGAAACTCGCAGTTTTCGAGTACTGAGAAATCACTGTCTGATCTAAACGCAACCGCTTGACGCGCGTCTGCTCCTGCCGTATTCTCTATGGTTAAATCACGAGCCATAAATCCATCGCCGAGAACTCCTACCAAAGCCAAAAACATATAATAACATCAAACAAATAAATTTTGGAATAACCAAAATTCTTGGATTAAACTAAGCAACTTACTATATATATATATATATATATATATTCTATTATCAGAAGATCTATGTTAATACTAACAAGATCCAATGAATATATTATTTTCCAAGTAAAAATGTCTGAATGTCACATGGGTTCTGTCTCTATTGAAACTAGGAACATAACTTGAATCTCGAAATATCAATAAATCATTATTCGTTTTTACGTGGCAGAGCAAATCTAGACACTGTGGAGTGTGGACACAGTACTAAAAAGAGATACCATCTTTCACAAGAGTAAAAGAAAAAAACAAATTTCTGTTTTTGACTTTTAATGTTCTTCTTCTCATTTATGTTTCTTAAATAAAATTGACGAAGAAAAATAACAAGTTAAATCTAATAAATTCAAAAACAGGGTTTTACGGAAAAAAACTCACCGACAGTTGCAGAGTTGAACGTTGTCATTCCTGGTTGTCCAACATTCAACGATCCTGTAATTACCGTTTTGCCCATTCCGTCTCCGATGAAGACGACGTTCCTTTTCTCAAACGGAACCCTAACGGTTTCCTCATACACGCCCTCTCTAATCCGTATCACGAACTTAACGGTTCCGTTAGTATCCGGCGCTGCGTTAACGGCTTCTTGCACCGTCTTGTATTTACAATCTTTCCCTCCGTTTTTACACACCGTCACGTCTTCCGTTAAACCAGACGGAAATCCCAAATTAGCCTCTTTACCCGTACCCGAGCCCAAACTCGGCCCAGCTTTCTCCCAAAACCCATCTCGTTCCGTCGCTGGACGAGTCCACGAAACGATGTCGTCCCCGAAGTTGTCGAACGATAACATCATGCTCAACGCGTTTCCGGTGAGGTTCACGAGATCTTCGAAGAAAGTGATCGTGTCGACGACTTGCTTCGTATCGTTGACGGTTTTGAGACCGGACCAGCAGTCGAACTGGTAAGCTAGAGCTGCGCTCATCCAAGCACGAGCGTCTTTGATTTCGCCTCCCGTCACGGCGACGTCCGTTGATTCGGTACGGTGCTGAGCGTAAGAGAGGATCTCGAGGCAAATGTTGGCGATGTTCGTACGGTTTTTATTCTCTGCGGATGAGTCTAGGATAGCCTTGATTTTTGACTGGCCGGATTTGAGATTCTCGTATGAGACTGAAATCGCAGAGTGGATTATTTGAACCGGTTTAGGATCCGGAGGGACTTGACCCGGTTTAGAGAGGGAGGTGACGCAATGGTCTGGGAAACGCGTCGCGTTGCAGGCCAGACGGATCTGAGCGATCGGAGGAGGGGGAAGCGGAGGATCGTTGGAGGTTGGGTTTTGGTGCGTTGAGTTATGGTGGTTGCGGGAGGATTTAGAGACGGTAGCGTAGATGAGGAGAGTTAGGAGGAGGAGGAGAATAGAGGACGTTGCGATGATGATGAGGATGCAATTACGGGTAAGGAGTTTTTTCTGGTGAGGTTTTACGACGGATGAAGCAAACGGGGCGGAGGAAGAGGCGGAGAGGGAGTACGGCAGTTTCGGAGAATCCATTGGAGGGAGAGACAAGATATTTTTATAAATGTCTGTGTATATGTGTAAAAATGTTTATACAAAAGTATAATTGAAAGTGGAAAAAGAAAGAGAAATTGAGATTCAAGAATACTTGAAAAAATCTCTGATTGAGAGAAAGAGACAGAGGATGAAATTCAGAGATTGAGAGCGATAGCCATTGAAGGAGACGAGAGAGTTAAAATTTTCTGGGTTTTTGTTTCTTTTTTTTTAACCTTTTTTACGGCTATTGGGGGAAGAAAGGTTTTGGAAACTAAATATTAGGGTAAAATTATGGTTTTTTTTACCGGTCAATTATTGTTTTATTCACACATTTGGTTAAAACGGGCCAAAAAAGCTCAACACACAACATACCTTTTGCGTCACAGATTGTTGCATTTAGCTATATGAAGTTTGGGCCTTTAATAAGGCTTTTGATGCCCAGCTCATGATTGATCACACAAGAAAACCATCCATCTCATGTGTCATACTCATACATGTGAGTACATCGGTTTTGAAAAGCCACATAGGACCGACTAAAGAAACTTATCCATTTCCAACGTGGGCTCGTGCCCGTAATTTGCTACAAAAATCCATTGATACAATTCATGTCTACTATGTAGACTATGAGAAAGATAATTGTAGCAAAGTAAAAACATATGGAACAAAATGTATACATCAGTAGTGGTTAGTTTTATACCATTAGGGATCAACAGCCATAGGTGTGATGCGCTTCCTCGCTGGTTTGTTTAAGACAGGTGTGTTAACTTTGCTCTGCAATGGCTCTTTCTCTTCCTCTTTTTTTGTTTCCGTCATCACTTTATCGGGTTTCTGCATAATATTCTCCTCGTAATGTTCTGATTCAGTCAGTATACTGCTCTCAGCTGGTTTTGTTTCGGTCGTCAGCTCGTTGGTTTTCTCTAGATCATGCTGTTTCTCCTCACTGTCCACGGGTTTCTTCCCGACTGCAATGGAATTGATGCGTCAAATGGTATTCTGGAAGGTTGAGAGTGAAAAAACTAAGAGCAAACCTGATATGGGGATGGGTTCTCCTATTTCGTTATCTTCAAATTCGACTAGTGTGCAGTAGCCATCTTGTGAGGACAGTGCTAGATGGGAGGCATTAGGTGACCTGTTGAAAGAAATGATTATTGGTTACAATTTAAAACATTGAAGAAGATTTGGACAAGGATCATTCAGGTCTGAAATAAATGTGCATATTATTTTTACCAGGTTATATCGGTTATTGCAGCGTAGTGGAGACCTGCTAAGACTGCAATTGGAGTCACACACTCTGTGTCATATATGTACACCGAATTTAAAGTTGCAATAGCAAAGACGAGACGGTAAGGAAGCTTGAAGAAACCCTCTTCTGCATGATTCAAAATACCATTTGAAATAACTAAAATTAGCAGATTTAAGAAAATTATATACTTGATGACGGCCTTCTTTTCCATCATTAGAAAGAAAGAAAAAATGGCATAATATGTACCAGAATTTGAACCACGGAGTTTGAATGCAACAGGGCTAAAACGAACCACTACAACCGGTTTGTTGGCACCTGGAAGCTGCAGTGCAGGTCTGATTGTGGAAAAAGGAATGAGTTAGTGTGAGACTTTGTCTTGATGTATAAATATCTCATACATAAGCTCAAGCAACTGAGGTCACTTGGCTTAGCTAAAAGAAGAGCTTACATACTTACAATATTTTCCAAAAGTCTTACGACTTCCATACAAAAGATGGTGGGGTGATTATCTTACCTTGAAAGATCCTTTCTAGAAAAGACATAGGTAGCATTTACAGCTTCGGATGTGGGTGAAACCTTGAAAGAACCTGGAAATGCAACACAGTGTTGACAAGAAATGTTAGGGACATAAATAATACCAGAGTAAACAATATGATGATCTAGCCCAATATTCTGAAAAAAACAAGACTGGTTTTAATGTATATAATAACCTGCTGGAACGAGTAAAAAAGATCCATCAGGTGACCATGACAACCTTCGAAAGAAAGATGGCAATGTCTCATCATGAAAGAGGTGAGTTTTTATTGTCTGCATAATTGCCATTTTGAAATTAGGAATACTGTGTATTTGTGTGAATCATGAAGAAATTATTTTCTCTCTAACCTTAGTTTCATCTCCCCGTTGCTGATCTGCTTTAGTGATAACATGCTGGCAAACATAGTTCAGTTTTTCAACACCTTTACTCTTTGTTTGAGGCTTATTGACATATATACGGCATGTCCTGTCTGAACTAAGAGAGGCTACATACTTTGCTAAGGGGTCCCAGGCAACACCTTGAACATAATGACAGTGGGAATCCAGTATCTGATGGACAGAACCTGTAGCAAATACAGAATTATGAGAAGCAGGAAATCTGGAGCAAACATGTCAAATAAAAACTTATCTATTCTCTTATTTCTCACCTTTGTTAACGTCCCATATAATGCAAGAGTTGTCCACTGAGCCAGAAATCAGATAAGCATCATCAGGAGACCACTGAAGATCCAGGACATCCTTTCGGTGAAATCTAGCAGGTCAAACAAAATAATTATCTTAGCCTACATTGCTGCTCCTGAGATAATGGAGGACTTTAGTACCGCATGCTTCTCACCATGGCCTACTACATTTGATTGAGTCCATATTGGTAATTGTGGTAAAACTTTCATACTGTTTCAACAATGTCACTAGCCTACAGAATATTCTCCCGTCATGATAGAACAACAGTATTCAATTTAAAGATTTATAGAAGCATGGCAATGTAGCTAATTATTGAGATGAAAGGACTCACGATAATGACTTGTAAACTTTCCAGGACTGATTGGTTTCACTAGGATGCAACTTCCATATGATAAGCTCACCTCCTGGATTAACACCAAAGAAATGGAACTGCTCAATTAGTTTCTTTCCGCATTCCAAAATATTCAAAAAGCAGACTTGCATCTTAGCCACCAGATATGTTGGTGGTTCTCAGTTCATACCGTCTGCTCCTGAGGCAAGTAGTTCCCCTGCACATCATAACAGAATAGTCGTCACCACTAGATAACACATAAAATGTAACATGATTACAACTGAAGAACATCTCAGATATATCATATAACAAAAAGCTGGTGCTTACCAGATCGAGAAAAACGAATGGTATTAACAGCACATCCATGGTAAGTAAGGCTACTCTGGTAAGATACACTAGGAATCTTCTTCTCCGCTTGACCAGAATTTATCAACCATAGCTGAAATTATTATTGTTTTCAATTTTTAGTCGACGGTGGACAAAAAAATAAATCCAGATTTCAAAACAATTAGAATTGAACAATCGGAGTTTCAAACATTCAAATTCCAAAATTAACAGCAATCAGATCTTAATGATATGTATAAAGCGATATTTGAGTAAAGAATTGCATTACCTTGATGTCGTAATCGGCTCCGGCGGTGGCGAGTAAACCGGAAGTCGGATGAAAATCGAGGGTTAGCACCGGTTTCCCGTCGTGCCAGCTTATCTGTATCGTACCTCCCTTCATTTTCTTTGGGGTCAAATCGTGCACAACGCCCCAGAATCGTGGCGGATTTTCTCGAGAAAATTAGGGAAAATTTCTAGGTTTTTACGGATTAGTAAGTGTAGTGGGAAGATGAAGACGAATAAACTTTAAAAAAAAAAAAAGGACTCTGTCACAGTGGCGCGTCTTTTGGGCGCGAAAATATAGTCTGTGTGTCAAATGACGATTTTATCCACCGCCTAGCCCGGTTTAATCTGAAATCAGTGTACCGAATTAATTATTTGCTTTGACTCTCGTATTAAATTAACAATTTAACATTTTGACTGGAGTCACTGGACCGCTAAACTCTATTTTGACTATTCGTTCGACTTAAACCATCAGATTGTTGTTGTGGGCAATACGGTTACATCATCGTTCAATTATGAGTCTATTTTTTAAAAAACCGATAGAGAGAAGTAAGAACTGTAGTCACTGACCTACGAACATACTTACATACATCAGATTTATTTTTGGTATGAGAAAAAAGTCACACATCTTTTGGCTTTTGCTTTTGATTCGTATATCAGTCGACGTCGTCTTATAAAAGCAAGGGTAGTCTAGTAGTAGTTTATGAGGTCGATGACTATTCAGCTTTAAATATATATAGACGACGTTACCTTTATCCTTTTTTTCTTTTAGATGACACTTTAAAGACCTTTATCGCAATTTTTAAAGTGTAAACACATCTACACAAGCGATAACACGTATAATGCATATAGATAAAGCAAAAGTTACCTAAAGTTATATTCAATCAAAGAACTATAAAAAAATATCTCTACTTCCCAACTCTTAATAGCGCCTTTTCCCCCAAATCTTTCGCACTAAAGACGACTTAAGATTTTCGTATGATTAGTAAATTGATTGCGAAATATTAAATTCAAATGTTCAGATGATCTCTAATAATTTTGCTTTTGGTAATTTGGAAGAAGAGTAGTTGCGAAGAAGAAGAGTAATATAGTAACGGTATTAAAAAGGTTACAGATTCCACATTAAAAATTCATTTAATACGATAACTTAAAACATAGTAGATTTTACCAACGTTAATGCAAATATTGTAAAATCATTCAACAAGGCGGTCAAGAATCCCGGAGACAACACCACAGATACGTCTCAGGCTCTGTTCACGCCTGCGAAGCTCCACCGGATAAGCCAGCCCTCTAACTCGCCGGAAAATATTGCGGCAAACATTAGGATAATCCTCCGCCGCCAAGACATGCATGGAAGCATAGTCATAGGCTTCACTATCAAGATCTTGAATTGTTTGCCGAAGAGAATCAGCGGCGAGGGCATACTTCTCGGAGCAGTCTTGTAAGACCTTTTTGAGGACGACGTCGTTCGCAGCGGAGGTTAGGTTTCCGGCGAGGTAAGTTGCGGTGGAGGTGGCGTTTGTCATGCCAACTCCGACCATGATGGCTGCGAGACCTTTTGTGTCGGCTGTGGGGCTTCTTGGGTCGGATTTGAGAGCCGACACGCAGAATTTGTAGTTGTTTGTGTTTTTGCAAGTTGATTCGATTATTGTCGTGTTGGGTTTGGCTGAGATTAGAGTTGGTGATGAAAAGGATAGGGTGAAGATGAGGAGGAGCATGAAGATAAGAGAAGAAGAAGCCATTTCAAGAAGAAGGGGTTGAGCAACTGTCTTTGGAGAGATAGAGATGGAAGAAAGAGGATTCTTGTCTTATATTTTCAGCAGCTTCTTGATTTTACACATTTTATAAATATTTTAAAATAAATACTATTTTTGTTTATCATTTGTAGTTGCAAACTAAGGAATGGTTTGTGTTATAAAAAAAAAAAAAAAAAGGAATGGTTTTTTAGTATTAAACTTTATGTTATGAAAATTATTATATAGATATCTCTCCCATTCTATGAAACTATCTACAACAACAAATTAACTACGTTTACCATGATATTTAGTTTTAAACTATTATCACTGATACAACTCGGATTCAATTTACATAATGCATATTGTTGACCATACTCACAAAGATGAATACATATGTAATACCACCAAATTAATTCGTATAATTGGAATTTGTTGCTACATTCCTATATCAAAAACAAAAGAATTCTTAATGTGAATATGTGATATTTCTTTTTGTCAAGATGCCATATAACGTGTTTACATGTGAACAACTGAAATAAGAATCAATTGTATTCTTTCTTCATTCCAAAGTAAGTCAAGTCACATATTACCTACTCCGGAAATACAAAATAAATAAATAAATTGATATGTAAATTTTCACTTTAAGAAATGTGATTGTAAATTTTCATTTACAAGATACAGTAAAGTGACCATGCGAATCTTTTTTCTTGTTCTTTAAAAATCATTTTGGTTAATTTAGAGGAACATGGTGTGCGAATCTGTTATGAGTTATGACCATAAGTTCAAGGACATGATGATGAGTTGTGAGTTGGTGTTTCCTTCTTGGAACTTTGTGAGTTTTTGATCTGTGAATCTTGTGTTATCAAATACGAATCATAAAGCCTTGTTTGGCTGTTTCCCATTCACGACAAAACCCAACTGACTCTGTCACTCGTTTTCTTCTTATTTTGAAATTATTGTTAAACTACTACTAATCATTATTGCTATAATTTAACCTGGAGATTAGAAATTTTAAACCTTAAACTCAACAGTTATAAACGTGTGTATTGACTGTTAGCATAATACCACAGGCCCATAAAAGATATAGGCCCAAATTATAAGCCATAAAAGCGATCAATGGGCTACACTGTAATTACAAATTGTGTTCTTTACCCGTATATGTAAAAACCAATCCACCCGGGAAACATCTTCGACCCGACTGAAGAAATGGGATCGTCTGCGAATACAGAGACGGCGATTGTCTCCGCCTCACCGGCGTCGAACCACAATAATCCCGGTACCAACGGTGGAGATGCGCATACGAATCATACTCCTGCTGCGATACTCGATCTCGTCGTCTCAGAACCGGAATCGTCGAAGAAGAGAAGAACAGGGGTGCTTCCGCTCGAGGTTGGTACTCGCGTGATGTGTCAATGGAGAGACGGGAAGTACCATCCGGTGAAGGTTATCGAGCGCCGGAAGAATTATAATGGTGGCCACAATGACTACGAGTATTACGTTCACTACACAGAGTGTATGTTGTTTCCTTTCTCTGCCTAATTTTGTGAATCTAGGGTTTAGGGATTGGAGATGAAATTTTTGAAATTGAAGTGAAGGGCTTGAAATTCAAGTTGTGTCTGATTTTCAGAGCTCTTGTGAATTCTGCAGTTAATAGAAGATTGGATGAATGGATTAAGCTGGAGCAGCTAGACCTTGATTCAGTAGAGTGTGCTTTAGATGAAAAAGTTGAAGACAAGGTAGCCATTTTTCTTTAAATCCTTGAGCTTTCTTCTCCGTAATTTGCACTGAAACAGAGAAGCGTTTTTGTTGTGGTAATAGGTGACTAGCTTGAAGATGACACGACACCAGAAACGGAAGATTGATGAGACTCATGTAGAGGTAAGCGATTGTCTATCTTTAGTAAAAATTGGTTGTGGTGAACTGTGTGTCAGGATATACTCTGATGTTTTTCAACATTTGTAAAGGGTCATGAAGAGCTGGATGCTGCAAGTTTACGAGAACACGAGGAATTCACGAAAGTGAAGAACATAGCAACGATTGAGCTTGGGAAATATGAAATTGAGACATGGTACTTTTCTCCTTTCCCGCCAGAATACAATGACTGCGTGAAGCTCTTTTTCTGTGAGTTTTGCCTCAGTTTTATGAAACGCAAAGAGCAGCTTCAAAGGCATATGGTAAGTACCTTAATTGTTTTTTCCATACATACCTTTCATGGTTCATTCAAGTTGTATTCATTACTTTTACTTAACTTTTACTCAATTGTCCTTGTTTATGTAGAGAAAATGCGATCTGAAGCACCCCCCTGGGGATGAAATCTATCGAAGTTCTACTTTGTCAATGTTTGAGGTAATCTCCTAAGATATTCAGTTTTATATCGTCTGCTCTAGCCTTCTTATCTATGTTCATATCTTCAGCGTTGTTACATACGTTTGATGACCTGGGAGTGTTATGTAATATCTTACAGGTGGATGGCAAGAAGAACAAGGTCTATGCACAGAACCTCTGTTATCTGGCCAAGCTATTTCTTGACCACAAAACTCTTTACTATGATGTTGATTTGTTCCTATTTTATATTCTCTGCGAATGTGATGATCGTGGATGTCACATGGTTGGATACTTTTCAAAGGTTCAGCACTCTTGGCTCTTGGGTCCGTTATGTACATATTTGGTTTCCATTTGATAGTGTGTAGAAATGATGCAAGTTCTGTTGATACAGGAGAAACACTCTGAAGAAGCTTACAACTTGGCTTGCATCCTCACCCTTCCTCCTTATCAAAGGAAAGGCTACGGAAAATTCTTAATCGCCTTCTGTGAGTTTTTTTTTTTCCATTTTAGTCTCTTTATTTTCTCTCACATCTCTCTATAAAGCTTACACATTATTCTGCATTATATAGCCTATGAACTCTCAAAGAAAGAAGGCAAAGTCGGGACACCAGAGCGACCCCTCTCTGATCTTGGCTTAGTGAGTTACAGAGGATACTGGACTCGGATTTTATTAGACATCTTGAAAAAGCACAAGGGAAACATATCTATCAAGGTATATTATATGTCTCTTTTATTATACTTTTTAGCCTATGCAACAACATACTATTTCATATAACTCAACCCTTGTTCCAAATGTAGGAGCTGAGTGACATGACAGCAATCAAAGCAGAAGATATATTAAGCACCCTTCAGAGTTTGGAACTGATACAGTACAGGAAAGGACAACACGTGATCTGCGCAGATCCTAAGGTACTGGATAGACATTTGAAGGCGGCAGGCCGAGGAGGCCTTGATGTAGATGTTAGCAAAATGATCTGGACTCCTTACAAAGAGCAGAGCTAAGAACCGTGTTACACTTCAAAATGGTTATGGTCTTCTTTTCGTTTCCTTAATCCTTAAGATGACATCTGTCTGTAAAAATTTAACATGCCTTTTGTTCAGTAGATCGTGTAACAGTAGAAATCTTTTGTCTGGATCAGTAGTAGCTATGATGTTTCGTTCTTGTTTCCATTAAAGCTGACGATAGTCTGAAAGATATTTTAAATCTTTGAATGCCGAAAAAACATGGCTATTGTAAATTGTTTAGATACATGGTCAGGATTAGTCTGGATTTCTGTCTGGGATGAAACCAAGTTGTAGAAAATAAGAAAATCTGAGAAATGTGATAACTATGATTACGATGACTATATAAATGGGCGTGTATACAGAACAACAAAAAAAACGTTTGTTCATGGTCTTTAAAGAAACCAACAAAAGTTGGAAAATATAGTTAGGGTTCTCTGTGCTCCTTTGAACTGCAAATACATTCTGGGTATGGATTCTCATAAAAGGCTTCTTCAGTTCGAAACCGGGCACGTCCTTTGATCCCCTGTGTTGGTCCTTTCCTTCTTCTCGGTGCACCTTGCCTGCAAAACCGAGCGAAATAATGTATTTCCGCATCAAAGATGATTTGTTTTAGGTTTATTGCAATTCTGACTTGTATAAGCAAAGATAAGATTATCTATTACCTGTCTTGATGCATTTGCTTCACAAGATTGGACAACTTTCGTCCTTCTTTTAACTGTCCTCTCTCCATCTTACTAAAGAGTTTCACTAATCCTTTCCTGCATCACAACAAAAGTTGTCATGGGATATAAAAATGAGTAAAAGATGAAAATGATGAAAACTTTTCGAAGTTAGAAGACAACAAAGGAAGGATATAGAACCTGTCTGGAGTGATAGTCCTGCGATGACCTAGAAATCTGCGGTGACCTTCAACAGCTCTTGCCATGTTTCCAGAATGTGAAGGAACAAACACATCACTCTCAACTGAAATTATATAATCAAGAGCAGCCGTTTTAGTTGCATGACCTGTGAAACCTTTTAACTCGCCTTTTTCAGCTAGTGTTTCCTACAAAACCCAGTACATGAAACAAAACATTATATCATCTTTAGGTTGCCAATAACATGGATTATTTAAGAGGTGGTTGAACAAACCTTAAAAACTAGATTTGGGAAGCGCGACTTAAGCTCAGAGAGTCTATCATCACCCCCATAGATTTCCCCTGCTGCAATATAAATGACTGTTGACTGAGAATATCCCAGACCTTTCAGAAATATTCCCACTTCTTTTGGAGTCAATGGACAGAGGCCTTCTTCTCTCTGCTCTGTTGAGTTTATACTTTTGATCTTCCAATGGCTTGTACTTTCCCTGCGATCAACCGGTATTATTGAGCTTAAAACCATAACTTTTAGTTTAGATGAGTTTATACTTTTGATCTTTCAAGTTTACTTTGTAAAGATTATATGCGCAGAGTAATCAATTACCGCATTACTCTTAGTTCTTCGGATTCAGCATCAGTGAGACCATAGGTACAGCCAGTGAAAGCCAACATGTCTTTCTCATATCTCAGGTGCAATGTAATATATCTCCCAGCACGTGCCTTGAGTCTCTCAACCAGCTTCTGTGGTGTCACCGTCATGATTGCTCAGAACCCAAAGTCTACAGGAAGCCCCATAGGACACCTCTTAAATGCATAAACTACTGAGACTTATGTATGATAGAAAAATTTGAGTTCATTCTTCTATCAGGCTTCTCCAAATAAGGCCTCAAACATATCATATATGTTATTGATATTTC